TGGACCATTGTTGATTTACCTTCTGGCAAGCATCCCATTGGCTGCAAATGGGTCTATAAGATCAAATACAGATCAGATGGATCAGTGGAAAGATACAAGGCAAGATTGGTTGCCAAAGGGTTCACGCAAACTGAGGGACTTGATTACTTTGAGACCTGTGCCCCTGTTGAAAAATTAACCACTGTCAGACTTTTATTGGCTGTTGCTTCTTCTCAGAATTGGTTCTTACACCAATTAGACGTCAACAATGCTTTTCTACACGGTGATTTAGAAGAAGAAGTGTATATGACTATTCCACAGGGTGTTGTGTGGTCCAAGCCTAATCAAGTTTGCAAATTGCATAAATCTTTATATATGCTTAAACAAGCAAGTAGGCAATGTACAACAAGCTCTCTACATGTCTTCTTTCTTTTGGTTACAAGCATTCACCTCATGATCAATCCTTATTCACCAAGACAACTAATGGCCTTTTCACTGCTCTACTTATATATGTTGATGATCTTATCCTAGCAGGCACATATATTTATGAGATAAACTCAGTAAAGCAGCATTTGCATGATTCCTTCAGAATTAAAGACCTAGGACCCTTGAAGTATTTTCTTGGTCTTGAAATTGCTAGGAGTTCTACGGGTATCACTGTTAGTCAGAGAAAGTATGCCCTTGACATACTTTTTGATTCTGGTTTCTTGGCCTCCAAGCCAGTTCCTTCTCCCATGGTCAAAATGCTAAAGCTTCATAATGATGATAATGATCTATGTGCTAATCCTGGTGAGTACAGACGGCTTGTTGGTCGCTTACTTTATCTCACAAACACCAGACTTGACATCAGTTATGTTGTACAACAACTTAGTCAGTTCATGGCAGCTCCCACCACCGCTCATCTTAAGGCTCTTCACCGTATCCTTAGATACATCAAAGACAAACCAGGCCAAGGTTTTTTCTATCTTGCTTCTTCTCCCTTACAGCTTAAGGCATTCAATGACTCTGATTGGGCAGCTTGGATTGACACACGAAAATCAATTTTTGGATATTGCATTTTTTCTGGGCAATTCCCTTATTTCTTGGCGTTCAAAGAAGCAAAGCACTGTATCTCGTTCTTCTTCCGAGGCAAAGTACAGGGCCTTAGCATCAACATCTTGTGAGATCCAATGGTTGACTTACTTGCTTACCAATCTTGCTGTCCCCTTCACTGCTCCAGCCTTACTTTTTTGTGATAGTGCCTCAGCTCGTCACATTGCTGCCATTTCTGTATTCCACGAGCGCACCAAACACATCGACATTGATTGTTATGTGGTTCGTGAGCATTTGCAAAATCACTTGCTTCATCTACTTCCCATTTCTACTACTGAGCAGCCTGCTGATCTATTTACAAAAGCTCTTGATCCATCTCCCTTCTCTCACTTACTGTCCAAGCTTGGAGTGCTTGACATACACTCCAGCTTGAAGGGGGGTATTGAATGATAGCATTATTCTCAGCCCTCAGCAACCACCTCCCGCATGTGTTGCCCCACGTCCCACGTGTGCTGACCCATTCTGTATATCATTCTGTTATAAATTTGTTATAGGAATTCCGTACATCATGACGCATGTATTGCATTTTCTTTTCTTTCTTTTCCCTTTCCTTGTATATAAAGGGCCTTTTGGCCTCTTTGTTAATTGAGAGAATCTTTCCATATTTTTCACGTTCGTTTTAACCCCTACTATCAAGCCCACTTTATTTATTTATTTATTTTTTTACAAACAAATCATTAACTCAAAATAAATTTATTTTACAATAAAATTAATATTTTTAAGTTAAATGAGTTAAATCCCAAGTAGGGTTATCAAATGACCTGATGTGATACAAGTAGAATGCAACCACAAATCTATGGATGGTCCTTGTTGTTGTCCAATTTCTCCATTTGATTTTCTTGAGATTCTTGCTTTGATCCAAAAATATAATCTTTCACAATATTCTCTGCAAAAAGAAGTCCCTTCTTAATCTGCAACTAGGAAATTGAACATCAAATATTAGCAGTTAAGAGAAAATATGAAGCAGTTATGTTGTCTTGTACGGGACAAGAATTTTAAGTTTTAAAATTGAAAACATCAAGTAAGAGACAAAGTCTTGTATATGGTTTATGGAGCACAACCGACAAAATCTTTGTTTGGACGACGTCTTTTTGGTATGGCCAGTTCCTAAGAGTAGCAATAGTCGGAATAATAGGATTGGAGACATTCTTCCTTCTCTCTTCTTCCTTGAGTTTGGATGCGCATTTTCCTTAATTTTTTTTTTCTCCATGATTATGGTTGAGTTCTTTCTTTAGCTTCAAGGACTAGGCAATGTCCTTCATACATTAATGATTTCAAATCGATTTGTTTTTCCTTTTTCACTTTTGTTAATGTTTTAATTCCTTTTGTTTCGATTGTATTTGTGTTTATTCATATGAATCTGTTGCCACATTTTTGCATCTTTTAGATATTTAGAGGAGATCCAACTAGGGAACTTAATTATTAGAAACTGTAAAATCTAAATTAAAAAGTAGTTTAAGGTTTTGTTGGGTGCAATTATTAATTATTAGGAAACTTATTGAGCTTAAGAGTGGTTCATAGGAAGGAAGGTCAGGAGTTTGGTTTAAAAGAAGAGAGGAGAGGGAGGAGTTAGAATTTTTATTTTTTTTTTAGAGGAGGGGAAAAGAATTGATAAATTTTAAAAATTAATTTATTTTTATATCTATATAACTTTAAATTTATAAACATAAATAAAAATATTTTGAACATTATATTAAAAATATTTTAAAATTTCTTTTTTTTTTAATTTCTTAAATATTGGAGGAAAGTTAAGATTATATAAGAAGTGACTTTGGTCCCTTCTATTCCTCTCTTAAAATCAAACTAAACAATAAGAATTTATAAAAAAATTCTTTCCTTTTTCTTCCCTTTCCTTTCTTTCCCTTTTACATAAAAATTAAATAACAAATAATATTATATGAGGAGTGATCCACTTTATAAAAGGAGTGATCCACTTTCTAAGATCGTATATATCTTGATAAAATTACTCAATTTAATAACTCATGTTTTATATCAAGTTGTAATGATTCAACCATTATCTTAAAAGTTTTTAATGTATAGATAAAATTTATATATTTTTTTAAAAAATTAATTTTATTTGATACTTCATTTTATTGATTCATATTGATGAATATTGATAAAAATATTTTATACGTTAATTTGAATCTATATAATGTATTATCATATAATTTTTAAACTTTGTAAAAATTTGCAAACTTAATCTATATATTTAAAAATTTTAATTTAACGGTTGAATCGTTAAAACTAAATGTATATTATGAGGCATTGAGTGAATTAATTCTATCTATGTTTTTAGTGGAATTTAATCCCAAGAATCGAATACAAATAATTTTTTTATGTAGGACTCGATATGTTCAAAATCGTGTGAATTTTTTTATTTGAATTAGCTACCTAATGATTTTCAACTTGAAATAAAGTAGAGAGAGATATATTTTGCAAAAGTGTAAAATAATAAGAGTTTGAAGAAAAAATTGGGATTAAGAAGTGAAAATATTAAGTTTGGAGAAAAAAAATGAAGATTAAGAAATGAGAAATTAGGTTTAGAGAATAACAAATAGGAAAAAAAGGATTACACACAAATATAAATTACTGGAAAGGAAATGATAATCGGTAAGTTTGTAATAATCTTTTGACCCATGAATGTCATTGGAACTTAAGATATGTAGGGTTTTGAGTTTACAAGTTCCAACCTTTATTAAATGGTATAAACTAATATTTATAGAGTACAAATGTCAACCATTTGTAACTACTAATAATTGTCAACAAATCTTGACTGTTGATAATTTTTGTCTTCGATCTCCATCATTGATGATATCTATAGTTTTGATTATCCAAATAATCGAATCTTTCCATCAAAAACTTGTTTCACTAAAATTAATTGGAAAATAACATTTTTACACTTGGTAACATTTTTCAACACTTAGTCCAAGTGCTTTTAGAATACCATTTTTTGATGTTACTAAAAAATGATGGTGATAACATTCTAAAATTACTCTTAGAGGAAATAAATCCCTTCTCATATTAAATTTAAAAGATAAAATATAATTAAATGAAAATGTAAAAGAAATACTCAAATACACCATCAATACATTTTTAATTATTTTTAAAAATAAATTTATATTCTTTACATAAATTATAAAATAATTCAAAAACTAATAATATTAAAATGTTTTTTCAATATAAATTTAAAGAAATAATCTTTTATCCTTAAAATTATCATATACATATATTTTATTAAGTCAATCACATATTAAGGAACATAATTCTTTTTGTTATAAATATTTTATTGATTTGATCAAATCTTTATTAATTTATTTTTTTTTGCAAAAAAAAACTAATATTTTTTTTTGTTATAAAAATGATTTTATTGATTCTCCTATACATATGTTAATTTCGATTGTAGAATGTGACTAACTACCTTTAGTTAGTATTCCTTCCTAACAATCGACCATTTTTAGTGAGATATTTCTTTCTAACAATATATTTTTTTTTTTTTACACAAAACTCAAATTTAAAACTTTATATAAATAAACAAAGTTTAATGTCACTGGAACTTACTAAAAAATTTAGTAATTTAATTATATGTATGATAAATATTTATATTATTGATTAGGAATAAAATTTTATATTAAGACATAATTATTTATAAATAATTATAATTTGTTATAACTTAACAAGTTACCTAACTAAATTATGTACCAAATATAATTCATATAAAAATTTAAATAAAATCAATTTCAAATAGAATTTAATATTTATGTTGTCTTCAAAACAAAATCTAAAGTAAATCTGAGCGACTAAAAATAAAAGAAATTTTAGCAAACAAATTTTTTTAATTAAATTTTACCAAGCACACTCCACCTTTATATGGAAAAACAAAAATGAGACAAGTGGAGTATTGACAAACAAAATCATTTAGTAGACATAAAGCGAGGGAAAGAAAAAAAAATGAACGAGTAACCGAAAAGTCAAAAAACTAGGTTTTTTATTTTTCTTTTAAATTCCGAAAAACAAATTGGTGTTGCCTCCAACCTGAGAAGAGAAGAAGCTCCGAAAATCGAAGTCCTCTGTTTGAATGGAAGAAGTGAAAACAGCGATGGCACCTCCTCCATCCAGGAAGAGGCCACTTGAATCAACCGTCCACTCCAATTACTTCAACCTTCGTGCTGTTATTCGAGACCTTCGTCCTCGCTTTCTCCAGGTTTCATTCTCTAAATCTCCCATTCTTCTTTTCATGTTATAAATTTTGCGTTTTGTTTGTTATTTCTTTATTTGAGCAAATGGGTGTTCATCAGACTAGTTGCCTTGGTACTTGAACTTTTTTGTTTCTTTTCAATTTTCAATTTTGAATTTTTGGCTGATTGGTGTTGAAATTTTTAGTTTACTTGTCTTGTTATCGAGTTTCACGTTTGATTTGCGACTACATTTTGGGTTTCTGATTGTTTTGGGGAAAATGGATGGTGGATTTTTTTATTTTATTTTATTTGAAGTTATTAATTTTAATTTAAGAATTTTTTAGGGTGAAATGGAATCAATTTTTTTTGCCTCATCATAAAAGCTATGTAAATCTCTTAATTCAAAATTAAAACTTTACTCTTCATAAGAAAAATGATTGGGATTTTCATAGGTCATTCATGAGTTATTGAAAATTGGGGGTATATGTGTGATCAATACCAGATCCAAATTATAGGATGTATTTCATTTTGTAGGACAAATTAATTAATTTGAGAAGTTCCAATGGAAAATTGATACATTAGTTCTAGCAAATTGTGGAACTAGAAAGATAGTTACACGTTGTTATAATCCCAGTGTCCTGTATCTAGAATTTGCTTAGAGTGATCTCTCATCTACTCCAGCAATGGCGAATGGATTTATAGATGAGATACATATCACCGAGTCTGGATACGTGGATTGTCAACTTGTTGCATGATTGGGGATCGGATTGTTTTGACTTTAGCATGATTTAAAGGTGGATGATTGAAAGGACGAGGACATTTGAATTGAGCGGATTTTCTGGGAGTGATATAATCTAATGATAGGAAGAAATATGTGTGGTCATTTTGATATATAATATTGGGGTTAGCAAGCTACACTTAGGGTGTATTTTAAGAATATTAGAGTTATAACTTGCTAACATACTCCTAAATAACATGTTAGTGTGTATTAGCAAGTCCCTACAGGCACAAACATATAATACCAGTCAGAGCATCCCTATGCACCCACATATACTTTACAGGTCCTCCACTGCCCTGCTTTCCTGAGTAGCAAATCCTCAAATAGAGTACGGTAGAAACAAGAATGGTTGGATGATTGGCTGTGTGCCAATTTAATGAGCTCCTTATTTCCGACTGTGGATACGAATGGATTTAGTGCTAATCTATTCATAATATATTAAATTATGAGCGCAGGCTGTGGATATGCTTCATTAGTTTCTTCTCCTTATTTGACTTTTTAACTTGAGCAACATTTGGTGTAGTCCAATTAATATAACTTCGGTGACTGAACCCTTGAATGCCGAAGGCTATTCATTGTAAAGTGTCAAATAAAAAGCCATTTCAAGTATGGCTGTGGTCCAAGAGCTTTACTTCATTGTTACCTCTTACCCATGCTTCCATCTTACAATCACGGTATCTTTGTTATTTGGTGGTGATCTTCTTGGTTGTTTTGAATAAAAATTAAGATCAGTTCATATTGGCCAGCTATTATAGTTTATGAACATGCGTCATTGATTTGGGTTGTTTATATCACTCCAAATAAGAATTGCCAAGAGATTTGCAAATACCTATTTTAAGGTCCCTTCCCTTCGTCATCTCTCTAAATCATCTTCCTTATAGTCATCTTGTGTTTGTAATGTTGTTTCCTTGAAACAAAGTTTTATATGTGAAAAGGGACTTAATATGTGATTCAGCTTATTATGTAAAGCTTCAGGTCCAACAATGAAGACCAGAAAAATCTAATAAATTTCAAGTGTCTTGAGATTTGTGTGTGCGTGTGCGCAGCGAATTCTCTGGACTTGTTTTAATTTAATTTTTCAATAGATATTTGTAATGAAGAATGAATTTCTAGATGATTTTCTAAAATGTAGAGCCTTTTACAAATTATTAACCATTTTTTAATTAGAAGTAACATTCATATGCTTAATAAGATTCCTAAAGGCATAAAATTTCTATGATGGAGGTATAGTGCTGGATTATGTTACATAAGTTTGGTGTTTGATTGTCACTATAAATGTTGTTCAAAAGTGAAGACGACAGGAAAATTTCTATCGGAAGTGTATATGTTAATTAAATACTAGAATACAAAGGCTTAGAAAAGTCATACATGTATGAGACTCCATCCCTCTTTTTTCATCAATTATTACCACTTGTATATATTTTCTAACCTGTCCTTGTGAATTAGAGGATCTAGATCATTTATTAATTACTTTTCTAAAAGTATGGAAAAAAATTGGTACTCTTTACCTGCCAATTCAGCACAATTTAGGAGCTACCCTTTATTTATTTATTTTTTTTCTTTTTGGTCACAATTGAACCAAAAAGGTGAGAACACCTTCTCTTATGGTTGCATGTACCTCTTATGTGGATGCTTCATAAATTAAATATTATGACATTAATCATGCCAATATGTATTGATTATATATTGATCTATACTACCATGTATGTGGTAACCAGTTTCTTTTATGTTATCCGAGTGGTGTTATGAGTTTTAAAGAACCATTTTTTGAAGTCAGTATCTTTGAAGCTGATAAGTATATGTATGAACTTTTGAGTTATTTTCCTAATATTGTATGAACCATTTCAATGTATCTGCTTATTTCACTAGAAATATTGTGTGAAGTGCCTGACCATTGGTGTTTGATCATGAAGGTTCTCCGAACTCCTGACTTCAAAAATTGCAAGGCATCCCAAGAAATTCGAGAACGTAAGCTCATCTAGACAAAATTATATTTATTACATGATCGATCAAATCATCAAATCATAATGCAAATGGTGTGTGTTATACCTCTGATGTTTGACTTAATGCATTTATGTCTATATTTGGATTTGTCCACTGAACGTAAATAATTCTGTTGTCTGCATAGAGATGAATGTGTTAATGATTAGCACTTAGGTAGAACCCTGGCTCCTGATGGTGCCACCATGTCTATGATTTCTGGTAGTTTTAGAGTAGGTGGTGTAAAAAATACTAAATTTGGTAGCCTGAAATATGCTTGACTTCTATAATTGCAGAGATGAAGACAGTGATCAAATTATACGATAATATGAAAGCTGATGCGGTTTCACTCGCAAAGTCCAAGAATGTGCAAGATGGCCAGATGAAGGCTGGGCAGCTTCAACGTGTCAAGTCCCCAGAACAGAGTCAAGTAGAGAAATCATCTGCACGGCCATCGGAAATTAAGCTTACTCCGCCGGTTCCTGGGTTTCAGAAGCAAGTGGTTGAAGATGGTCAAACACAAGGGACATATGTAGTTGGAGGATCAGCTTTTGGCTGGAATTTCATCACCTTTTCAGGCAAGGAATCTGTCTATTATGGTAGGACAAAGGAACAATTTCGATCAGGAAAAGTGACCGAGTAATCCTATGGAGAGCTTGAAAGTTGAAACCCCTATTCTGGGTAGAACTATACTGTATAAGTGGTTTTTATAAACATTTTTTTTATGATTAACTTATTTTTATATACCAACAGATTTGGAACATGTCAGTAATAGTTTTGCTACTGATTGGATTTCCATCATTGAAACCAAATTTACTCAAAGAGGGAAATTATGCATCTTATGTTATTTATGTTAATCCTTTACCATGCCTGCTTCGTGAGCTTTATTATTCCATTGGATGTGTGTTTTACTGCAGTCTGGAATTAACACTTATATATTATATTGTCGATTAGATAATTCTATTTACGTATTTTTTATATGTAACTTTTTTATTACTTTCTTGTTAGGTAATAAAATAAGGAAATACACATTCTATTTTTTTTCTGCCAAAATAGTATAATGATGATGTATATAAAGATCAAGTGTTTTTTTTATTTTATTTTTTTTTTTATAGCTAATAAACCAGTATGAGTTGTAAATATCTATTGGAGGCTGGTTTACGAAAAGTGTGAAAACAATGTGGGTATCATTAATAAAGTTAATGTGTTCCAACTTCTTTGTTCTTCATATTTTCTTCATCAAGCTTCTATTTTGGTTTATAATAATTCCCAACCACCATAAAATTACCCTGAACAAGCGTTTTTTACGATAGTAACCTAGTATGAGAAATATCCCAAGTATTATGAGATTCTTTTTATTTGTATCATGTAAAGAGATATTTTTTAAGAGAAATTGGATATATTTTTATGAGTTAATCACTTATACACTGTCAGTGTAAAGTTTTTTAACATGGACAACCAATCAGATCTTTTAATAGTGTCATATCATTTGCTTATTTAATCAAATTAAAATAAAAAAGACATTATTAAAAGATTTGATTGGTTGCCGGTGTAAAATTTTTTTACACTAGCAGTGTATAGGTGATTAACTCTATTTTTATTCATAAGCAAAAGTATAATGCCGAAATTCAAAATATTGATATCATCTTATTTAAAAAAAAAGAAGAATAAAATCATGAAATAATTTATTTGAAACAAATAATATTTTAAAAAAATTATTTTATTTTATTTTTTCTAAACTAAAGATATTTAAGTATATTCTCAACAAGATAATGTAGCTCCTTTTAATAATGAAGGTTAATCCAGTTGATAATGAACAAATTCACATCTCACATTGAATTTAATTCTCACATATTATTGGTAGATAATCTGTAAATATATTTTAAATTTAAATTCATATCCCATAGTGAATCTAATCTCCACTATCATTGTGAGAATATTATTAATGAATACTCTAAGTATCTCTTGTTATAAGTTTTTTTAGTATCGAAAAGTGAATTTTTGATCCAACTTACTTAATCTTTACTAGAATTAAATAAAAAAAACTTAGATTATCTTTTAAAGTGTGTCATGTAAGAACTTATATATAAAAAATATTTGTTGCACTTAAGATGAGATAATTAACTAACTCATTTCAAAGGTAAATATAATTGAAAAACATATGAAAAATAATAAGACAAACACTATAGGCAAGAAGGTTTTCTATTCAAGCAGTAATATATATATTGTGATGCATGCATACACAAAGACAAAGCCTAGGTAGTTTTGTCTCACATCTTGGTTACTGAAAGTGAAAGTTGCTAATTCCTTGTGAGCCTTGGTATCGGGAGAGTCACATCTGTCATAGCAGAAGGTGAATTGATCGACACATTGACACTGAGGAGGATATGTGATCGCACAGATGCAGTTCTTGCAACATTTGGAGCATGTGTTTCCTTAATCTCTGCACAATAGTACAATGGGAAGGAAATGTCATCCCTGAGTTCACATTTATCACATCCTCCTTTGGTTTTGGATAACACAATGTAACTATCATTGGCATCACCGTTGGATAGCACCTCAGTCATGAGAGAACTTAGGTTGAACCGAGCATCCACAGTAGTTGCAGTGAACCCCATCAACAAAATCAACATACCTACCTTCACCAATGCCTTCAACTCCATCTCTCTCTAATTATATTTAATATTTATAACCCTTGTGATACATGGTTCATGCATACAACGAGATAATATTTTCATAGTCAAATATAAAGGCAGCAAAAATAACTTACGATTCTCTTATTTATAGTCATATTATTATTGTTCTCTTTAATGTCTGTATTCTTTTTTACTTTTCGTGATCACGATTTATATGTCTGATTTTAATGGACAATGAATAGTTAAGACACCATGTATAATGACAAGTTACATTTCTTTAATAAAATGCCATATATGTGATTTTGAATATTTCAATAATAAGTTACTAACCTTTTTGTATTTTTTTTTTCTGAACAAGGTAGTTATTTTAGAGGAGGATCTTGCTTAAGATTATGATGTTGCTAATTTTAATTAAACTGAGGAGGAAGTGTGACCGAAGGCTCCAAGGTTGCTGTCGTAATTCTGGCTCTTCAACAAGATTCTTGTTGAAATGGTGGGAAATTGTTATTCACTCCTTTTTACTCTTTCCACTCCCAATCCTTTTAGACTTTTTGAAAAATTAAATTATATCTTTCTTTCTTTCCTCTAACCTCCCCCCAAAGTATTCAAAATTTTAGTCAATTAATATAAGACATATGTAAAAAAAATTAATTTATGAAAAGAATTAATAATATCTAATTACATGTGTTAAATAGAGTAAATAGAGACTAGTTAAGAATTATGTAATTTAATTCTACCTTTTCTCTCAATCTCTCATCTCTAAAAGTTATCCGGTCTTCTATTTTTTTAATTTTTTTTTGGCTTTTCATAAATTTTACAGAAACTAGTTTTTCTATTTTCTATTTTATTTTATTTTGGTTTTTCATAAAGTTTACAGTAACTAGTTTTTCTAGTATAGTTTTACATTACAAAAATCTAGATTGAGTAATGGAGTTAACAATATTGGGTCACACTTTTCCAAAAAATATGTTGTGCATGCAACGCTCTAGAAACTAGTTGTAATTGAATGCAAGGAATCTCCATTAGAAAGCTCTCTTGATCATCCACCTGAGGAGACGAATTTGGTCTGTCGTGTTCCTTTATGGTTTAATTTCAACCTTTGGAAGAAAAGCACTAAAATGAAGTGATTAGGAACAATTATGAGAGTTCTTCAGGAATGAGGAAGAAAGGTCAGCAATTAACAATGTCAATGTTCAAAAAAAGAACCTTGAGAGATCGTTAACACTTTGAGTGAATGCATTGTATTACGATGCATTAACTATTTTTAAATTGTTAGAAAAAACTCTCAAGCATTTTATACAAAAAAAAATAGAAGAAATAGGGTGTACTTGAGCATGAGGTTGACCCGCTTTAGGTTAAACCCTTCACCAACAACTCTCCCATCCTTTACAATATAACACACCCCACCATTTGGAATCCAAAAAAGCCTTGTTCCTTGCATTAATATCTTAAGTAAAACCCATCATCATTTTGCTCATTAAATAATTAGTGCCACACTGAACCCTTAGCTAGTGTTCATCCAAATTAGTGATTTTTGGAAGTTAAAACCCACAACTGGATCAAACTCGTACTAAAACCAAGCTTATTGGGTTGGAAGAATAATGCAATCAGAGAGTGAAAATCCAAATGGTTGCATACTGTCAGGGAAAGAAAACACAAGAAAAAGGGATCCCGATTCTCTGACTCTGAGGAAAGAAAGTTATGGTAACTTAATACATCTCAACCGTTAAATGTATAAAAATAAATCAGATTGTGACACGTGTACAATATATATTTTAACTTAAATGTACACGTGTCACAATCTGATCATTTATTACAAATCTAACGGTTGAAATGTATTAAGTTATTCTAACTTTCCCTCCACAAAGTCAGGGATCCATTTGCAAGAAAAAGCTAGGAGGTCAATCATTGAGTTGAACTAATGACTTGACAAATCAGTGGTATGCCTTTATGGAAAATATATACGTAAAAACAATAAAAAGTAATTTTCTTCAAAAATGTCTGAGCCCGGGTTCGAACCGGGGACCTCTAGTGTGTGAGACTAGCGTGATAACCAACTACACCACCCAGACATGGTTATGAAGCTAATTTAAAACAATAATATTATAATAGAAGAAAAAATGTTCATATAAATTTTCTTATATTTCTTTATTTTACAACACAATTTTTTATTGATAGTTTGAAACCAAAGGCAGTGAGCGCAACACAATATTTGTACCGACGAAGAGGAAGGTTATAGAAGTAACATGATAAAATTATTCTCTTCAATAATTTTTTATATTAAATTTTATTAACTTAATCATTAAATTAAAAAATTTCATTAATTATCAAGTTATACATTTTTTACAAATTTTTAAACACATTTTTTTTACCATAGTAGTAATAGAAATATTTACCAACTTTATTGAAAATTAATATTTCTCAAAATTTTAAGTGTATTAAGATTATTCATCGTAGAAGCTTGAGAACCAACTGTAAACAGTAAGAGTTGGTAAATTTTTAAACACATTTGTTACTTCATTATATAAATTTAGTTTAACATCTAACATTTTAATTTTTTTTAGTAAATATTAACTATAATATTACATAATTAAAATGTCTTCTTTATTTAAAATTTAGTGTACATAATCATCGGGTTAATAATAAAATATTTAGCAACTGAATTAATAAAATCACACACAGGCATATATATATATATATATATATGTACATGATAATTATATATATATATATATATATATATAATTATCAAAAAGAATAAATTTACCAGAATTGAGGTGATGCTATAAGGAAACTGGGAAGGTTGTGCTTATTGGAGGGATGCAAGTTTCCTCTTCACGTTGGAGCTATGTTTCCGGTAATAGCTCTTCTACACAACTTACGTTGTATAAACTCTTAATTCTTCAATTCTATGCTCAAGCGTTTTTATTTATTTTCATTTTGGCTTAAGGTGTAGAGTAAACAAAAGTTGGTAATTTTATGTTTTTTATATATCACCGAAAACACTCGAACCAGTAATTTTATTTTTCATGTTTTTGTTTTACAACAGTATTTTTATTTTGCAATTTATTTGCACTTATTGAAATAATTTTATTTTTTTTCACGGGAACATAAAAATAAAATGGATAAAAACACATTTACACGATCGGATGTATGTATTTGTGATTAGGATATCATTCAATAATTTTCAAGCACGAGTCGAATTATTATTTTATTCAGATGAACGCAATTATTCATGTATTTATTTATTAAAGTATGACGTTAGGAAGTAGGTAACAAGCATAAAACACAATACAAGCTTTGGTTTCGTAGGCTTCTTCCTCAATAGGCCTCCGAATGTTGGTGCTTGTGTATTTATCAACTGGCTTATTTCTCAATATGACGTTATGCATTGCATTGCATTGCCTTAACTTATAAGACCAACATAACAAGAAAATATTTAAACTATATAGAAAGAAAACAAAGAAAGTAAAAGTTCAGACCCTGCCTACGAAACAAGACAACTAAAGAGAAAAGCCAAGTTGTGCATTTCCAGCTGCTCACATATTAGATTTCAGGGTAACTTTTCTCATCAGACCTTCTTGAACCACCGATACAAGAAGCTGCAAGCCGTAAAATAAGAATTTTAAGACAGTTGAAATAGGAAAAGGGGAGGGGGAAATCTTATGCTGGAAAGAGATATTCAGACACACATATAGGGTGCATTTGGGTATACAGCTAAATTAAGTGCTAATTTTGGAAAGAAAAAAAAAACTATCTTGGTCCCTTATAATATTTTAAAATTTTAATTTAGTCCTACCTTAATTTAATGCATTTGGAACGACCCGTTCGAAAAACAGAACGGTCTGTTTTGGATGCACTATTTGTGTGCTAATTTTGCATCTGGAATGATGACCCGTTCTAGATGCAAAATTAGCACACAAATAGTATAACCAAAACGGCCCATTCTGATTTCAGAAAGGGCCGTTCTGGTCCCAGAAAACCAACTCTAAACGATCAATGATTATAGTTCATGTCCGTGATTCAAAATCACGATTGTGAATTGTTCAAGGAAAAAAAGTCCAAGGTACAAAACATTTCAAACACTGAATTAAGTAATATTGTCAATGGAGGATTGATAACTTCAATTGCTAAATATTTGGGTTATATACACCATTTCTAGACCAATTACACGATATAGAAATTCCTAGAAGTATTAATTATAATACTTGTTATGCAATGCAGTGTATCTCTAAGGATACTAAAGACAACAGTGGCAGGTTTTATTTCATTAGTCGTGAATCACTTACTATCAAATCGGCACTATACAGTCAAGGATGAAATGACATGATTTTATTTTCCTTCTCAGTAATTTATTTGAACTTTCTTAGTATATGTTTTGTTATGAATTTTTGTTTGTAGTCTCTAAACCATATTTCAGTCTTTGAATTTGTTATATTATGAATTTTTATTTTCAATCTCTGAACCACATTGCTGCATTGTGTTGAACATACATTAACTTTCTGGAACAGCCAGTTCTGAATCCAGAATGGCTCGTGCTGGAACCAAAACGGCCCGTTCTAGTTTTAGAACGGGCCATTCTGCTGCACTCGTTGTGTGTTAAATGCTGTATCTGGAACCGCCTGTTCCAAGTGAAAAATTAGCACATAAATAGTGCATCCAGAACGGACCGTTCTGGTTTCAAAACGGGCCATTCCGAGTGCATTTAAGAAGAGGAGGAGGATGACGTGGCACCTTGCCACCTATGCATCCACGTGACATCCACGTGGCCAACAATTAACTCCGTTTAAGAAATTTGGACGGAAGGTCCAACATTGCAGTGATTTAACTTTATGGGGACCAAATTGAAACAAAAAATTAAGATAGGACTAAATTGAAAATTTAAAATATTATAAGGGACCAAAATAGTATTTTTACCACTAATTTTAAAACTTCACAGTACAACTTATTTTAAAAACAAAAACTTATTTTAATAAGTTTCACCATGATGAAAAGCATGTTGAAATAAGCAAGAATTCATAAAATGGTCATAAACTACTTTAATAGAGTTAATCACCTATACACTACCAGTGTAAAGTCTTTTTACACTGACAATCAATCATATATTTTAATAGTGTCATGTCAGTTGTTTATTTAATGAAATAATAATAAAATAAGCAACTTTAAAAGATATCATTAGTTGTCGGTGTAAAAAACTTTACAATGGCAGTGTATAGATGATTAATTCACTTTAATATGCCTAATTATTCTTCATATTAGTTCTTCAAAAACCGTCATTTACAAAAATACAAAAAATACCCTCCATCTTAATAAATTTACTCTCCTCAATAATTCATTTTTTATATTAAATCTTAATAATCCAATTGATAAATTAAAAGTTCTTAATTCATAGATCAAGTCTATTTTTTTTAAAAAATTAAAAATTATTTAATATTTTATTTTATTAATTTAAATTGATGCATAATTTATAAAAATATTTTATACTTTGACTTGAATTTATATAATGACTTATAATATGATTTTCAAATTTTTTAAAATTTTGTAAACTTGAACTCTTAGTTTAATGGATAGATCGTTAAAATTTAATATAAAATGATTTATTAAATATAGTAAATCTATAGAGACCTACTTTTAGAGTAAGTAAATCTCTCGTGTAAACTTACTCTTAAATTAAGTAGATCACTCTTATATATATATATATATATATATAGGCTAAAACCCTAATTTAGTCCTTTATAATATTAAAAAATTTTAATTTGGTCCCATTTTAATTTTTGGTTTCAATTTAGTCTCAATTTATTTAAAATACTTCAATGTGAGACTTTCGTCCAAATTTCACAAACGGTGTTAAAGGTCGGTGAGAATCACGACCGTAATTCCAAATCCCGACCGTGATTCTCACGCGTGGTGTTTCTCACGGACCTTTAACACTGTTTGTAAAATTTGGACGAAAGTCTCATATTGAAGTATTTTAAATAAATTGAAACCAAAAATTAAAGTGAGACAAAATTAATTTTTTTTAATATTATAAGAGACCAAATTAGGGTTTTAGCCTATGTATATATATATATATATATATATATATAGAGAGAGAGAGAGAGAGAGAGAGAGGGAGAGGGAGAGGGAGAGAGAGATCCACTTACTTTAAGAGAGTCTTGGTAGACTTATTCTACTCAATAACTCATGTTTTACATTAAATTTCAATGATTCAATCGTTAAATTAAAAGTTTTTGATGCATAGATCAAATATACAAATTTTTTAAAAAACTTAAAAATTATTTAATATTTCATTTCATTAATTCAAATTAATGGATAATCATAAAAAAAATTATATGTTGATTTGAATCTATTTAACAAAATATCATATGATTTTTTAATTTTTTAAAAATTTGTAGACCGAAAAATCTATGCATAAAAAACTTTTAATTTAATGGTTGAATCATTAAAATTTCATATATAATATGAGTTATTGAATAAAGTATGTCCTATCAAAACTTACTATTAGAGTAAGTGGATCCATATAGAGAGAGAGAGAAAGAAGAGGAATCCGTTTACTCTAAGAGTAAACTTCAAATTTCATGATTCAATTATTGAATTTAAAGTTTTTAATGCAGTTTGTAAATTTTTAAAAAACTTGAAAACTATTTGATATTTCATTTCATTAATTTAATCCAACATATAAAATATTTTTATGATTATCCGTCAATTTGAATTAATGAAACGAAGTATCAAATAGTTTTTAAATTCTTAAAAATTTGAAGACTTAATCTTTGTATTAAGAATTTTAAATTCAAACAGTTAAATTATTGAAATTTGACGTAGAACATGAATTATTAACGAAATAAATTTAAATAGACTTATTTCTAAAGTAAATGGATCTCATATATATATATATATATATATACATGAGACCTACTTAGTGGGTAGATAAAAAATATTGTCATACAACCATATATAGATAATCAAAGATTATTTCAATTAATTCTAGTTTTAGCAATCATTTTAATTACACAATTAAAATTTGCACTCATCTCTTACCAGATATGCTTTCAATATGTGTGTGTCTACTGTGTAAGCTTTTTCCGAATTGCACCGCAACAAGTGTGATAATAGATAAAGTGATGACAATAAATAACCCCTTACCTCTCCTTTCTGATTGAACATTTCACCAGAGACAGAGCCACGTGCATTAGAGGCACTAGGACTAAATATCTGTAGAACAAATTCGATGTAATAACAACTTCATAAAACAAATTTTAAAAAGAGTATATAGTTTATGCACTAACAATGTAAAGAAATTTTATACCGTTATGTAATTACAAACTATCATGTTTGTTGACATTTTAATAACTACTTTAGAAGTCATACTAACAATGACTTTTGATTGATTAAAAATGAAATTTTTTTACACTAACATTACATTGTTATTGAACTCTTTTAAAAATATAAAAAAAAAATCTGGAGAAATAATTTTAATTTAGAAAAAAACTAACTACTCAAATAGTTAATGATAGATATGCAAAGAGTGGTAATGAGTAACCAATTTATTGATTTAATTAGCTATTTGAGTAATTAATTGTTCCTAAAAGAATATTTTTACCAAGAATTTTCTTGATGTAACTTTCCCAAAGTAATAAATCACTTTAGAGCACTCACATCAAATAGCACCCAGTCATCAGCTCTTAAAGGTCTGTGAAACCACATGCTGAAATAAAACCAACAAAGCATTGAGCAAAAAAAGGAAGGGAACAAATACATAATCATAGCTTGGAAACTTGTTAGTTTGTCTCATATGTTATTATGTTACTATATAAAATACCCATTATATGACGCAGATACTTACGAGTGGTCGAGACTCACAGCACGTTGCTTCGTGCCTTTCTTACGGTGGGGGTTTACACTCACTTGAAGAAAGATTAGATCTGAAGCATATGCTACCACACACCTTCAAAACATATCAGATTCACAATCACGGGTTATTAGATATAAAAGTGTTGACAAGCTTTACTATTGTTTAAGCTTTTGGAATAGTTGGTCTTAACAAGATATTAAAGCCACTATGAGCCTCTTTAGATAAAGTCTAGAAAGACTTTTGAGAGCTTCTCTATTGGAAATTATGAGTATTATTTAGTAGAGAAGTTCTTAAAAACCCTTCTAGACTTTTATCCAAATATGCTCTATGACCAAGAGGTCACTAATTTGATCCTTGCCTCTCCAATTCCTCTATGTATGAGTTGAATTTCAGTAAAGTTTAACGGTCTATGCATTGTGTCACAAACTCTCCAAGCTAGTTCTTTCTCATGACATAAGTTTTCCAAGGACAACACACAAATTTTAACAGAACTAGAAACTATTTCAAGCAAAAGACTCCAAGGAATGCAAACATTAGCACATCAACAAAAGCCCTCCTAGTTCATGCATTGGCCAATTTTCAAAGCTTTTCAGAACTGAACACATCCAACAGTAAATAGAAGTCATGTACCTATGCAGGGCCTGATCATCTGAAAGTTTCCCCTTTGCTCTAAACCAGTATCTCAAACTGCATTCAAATTTTAAATAAGATAATATGTAGTATTAATATTCGCAGATATTAAGGCTCTATAAAAATGATTTACAGTGAGAGTAAGGCAAAGGATTGATGTATTTGGAGTGATATACCAATCCTTTGACTTCTCTCTCCAAATCACTGTCACCAAACATAGCATAAAAGACAAGTATAAATGTAAGCAAAATTTGGCAGAGCATCAAGCTAACCTAGGAGGAGACTTGGTCTGATTTGTCGAAGTTTTAGGTTCACAGAACCGTATCTCTATGGGCCAGGGAATGAATTCAGTTGTAGCAACCTTGTTCCGGTAAGTTCTAAAGCAACAAAATTTTTCATTATGGCTGGAAAATCTTCATACAGACTTGTCTGGAGCTGGACTAAATACAAACAAACAGAAAACTGTGGCATCAAGCATTATATGCTAGATGGTATATTTTACCTTGGAAGACGAGGGTCAATAAGGCGTAGCTCCCGTAGCTCTTCCATCGATAAAAGCTATAACAAAGAACGAGATTAACAATCTAAAATTCATAACTATTTTTATGAACATAAGCTTGTTATTTGCCTTATCTGGAGCAGGAACTGATGGGATAGAGACTTCCTGGTGTACAAACCCTAATTCTTCCTTCTGTAAAATTAAAATATTAACAAAGTCAAAGCTGCAGAATTTATAACAGAATTCCTAGATAAGAGTTCAGGGCTTTGTGCATATATTATAAGAGTTTGTTTGGATAAATTTCTTAAAATACACTTATAGTAGGAAGCAAAAATGAAATTTCCACCCAAAAAAACCAGGAAGCAAAAATGAAATAATTTTTCTATAAATTAAAATTAGCTTATGCAGAAATTAAAACAATTTCCGTTTTAGAAAATCTAATGAGAGCTCTTCTATAAATTAGCTCATGCATAAACTAATATTAACTTCAAGAAAAACTAATTTCATTTTTCTTTCCTATTTTCTTTTCCTATAAGTTCATGGATACGTTTATCCAGACATACCTTGAAAGAACATGTCAATTTAAATGAAAACAGCTTAAAGGCAATGTTACATCAAACGTGTTATATTTTGCAATCATTAAAAACTAATACTAGGAAAAGGGAAACGTATCATAGATTCATAATTTCATATTCTTCCAATTATATTGGCAACGCGAGATTGCATCTTATATAATAATTGTTGATATTGCATCATTTGCCCTACCCCTAACAGTACTAAAACCTATCTGACCATAACCCAAGTAAATATAAACGCCTTTCACACCAAAATTAGATACTAGCTTTATTTCAATGACAAGGACGCCACGTTATATAGTTGGACTATCCCTGTTCCCAGATGATCCTCCAAATGGTATTTCCTCTTTTAATTATTATATTCAATTAAGAATGATAACCAAATGTACATATAAAATTGAGATAGCGCATCACTTAGCCAGATTTACAGCTAAATAAACTGAAAAATGACTGAAATTTATATTATTCCAAGTTAAGAATGAGGAATTGAGGATTACATGAAACGAAGCCAACAAAGTGAATATGACATTTCCCTTTTGAATTGCATCCACTTTCCTTGTAGCAAAACTCTTCCCATCACGGAGACGATTAACTTGATATATAATTGGTACTGGAAAACAAAATTATACACCGCTTATAATTTTTTTTTAATATTATTAGCTAACAAACAAATGAATTAACAGTACAGAAAACATACTATGTGAAAGGTGATAATGAAATGCACATATGCAATTTTCTATTCAAAGAAAATATTGCATGCAACAACAACCAATGACAGCCTTATCCCACTAAGTGAAGTTGGTTGCATGAATCACACCTCATTAGACTCTGCTGAACACCAAATTATCAGGGATATTATTCACCATGAGATCTTTTCAATAATTATCTACAATTACCTCTCCACAGTGGCATTCTTTGCATGTGCCGAAACCAACATATCTAAATTTTTTTTTTGTATTCTTGATTGGTGCCACACCACTATTTTATCATATATAATTATTTTGTATCCTTTCTAGTGTGGCCACACATCCATCTTAAGATATTCATTTTTGGTACTCCCACTTCTTTCTCGTTGTCCTTTTAAAGCTCAACATGCACTACTGTATTTACTTAAATATGATTTATCATCTTAAAAGATAGAAACTTTATTAAAAGACTCGAGACAAAGTCAACATAAACTTAAATCAAGAACTATTCAGAGACTTGAATTGTTGAGAACAAAATATTGAAGTTACTTGCAGCATTGAGTTTAGCTAACAACCCATAAAGAACTTTAAGTTACTTCCATTTAAGCAAAAGACAAGAAATAGAAGCTTTCCAACCAAAACAAACATGGACACTAATAAAGAGAAACTGGTGATGAAAACCAGGAGTGGGATTTGTCAAGAAAAAAGTTATTAAACTGCCATCTGTTAAAAAAATTGCAGCCATTTGCAAATGTAAATAATAAATAAAAGGATTAAATATACTTTTAATACCAGAACTTTTGTCAATTTTTGTTTTTAGTCCGTGAACAAATTATTTTACAAATTTTAGTCCTAAACTTTTGTTGATTTTCGCTTTTAGTCCTCAAATTTTTTCTGTCGTTAAGATTTTGGTTCCTGGCGTCAATTTTTTGTTCAAGGAGAAAACTTCCGGGGTATAAAACCAAATAAAAATTGTTTAGTAACTAAAAACCAAAATTGACAAAAGTTTAGGAACTAAAAACATATTTAGTCTTAAATAAAATAAAAGTTGTTTTTACAAAACAAGGTATGAGGTGGACCAATAAAAGAATATGAATCTTTCAAGTAAAGAAAAATGGTAGAAAGAAGCAGAAAAGGGAGCGACTTTACATCAGAGTATTGTCAATAAAGTTCAGATTAAGAACACTTACTGTTAAAATCCCCCACAAGAAGAAAATAGGCATGCAAGCTGTGAACAAATTTGAGGCAATCAACAGATTTTGATGCTGCAGCCAGTGCCTGTATATTACACATTATTTTGTAACCAATCATTGCCTACAAAGTGCTACTGACATGAGTAACGAGCTGTACTATGATGATAAAGTAGTTTTTTCATACCTGTCCAACTATTTGACCCCCAAATACCTTCCCAAACTTCGGAGCATCTTCAGGGGTGATTCCTCGGAAGATATCTACCTTCCAAAGAGAAAGAACAGAATGATATAAGGCTGAACTATACAAAATATAGCCTGTTACTACTTAATATCAAAGATAAACCAGGACAACCATATCTGACTAGTTTCTTTTCCCTTCTATCTATTATATTGTATAATATATATGGATACCTCTATAGGTTCCAAATGCAATATATGTTCCACCGATGAGCTATCAAGAGACTTTTCTGCACTCCAGATAGACTTTGGCTGCAGCAGTGCTGAGTGCTCATGGGGCAGCACCAAGCATGATAACTATCACAGCAAACAAAAATAGTTGCTATAGGATGGAGAAAAAAAAAACCAAGCTTGTTTAAATATCATGTTGAAATTGGAAAACAAGCCGTAGGAAAAGAAACTAAAAGGCACCTTTGTCAAAGCTACGACATCAGCGTGGTGGACTGTATTTGATAAACCTGCAAGTTGCTAGTTCACATTAGTCTCCTTTAATTATAGTTATATAATAATTAAATGTAACATCTCTCATTTCTTTAATGTAACAAGAAAACTCCAGGCAAAAATCTTATTCACAAAAATATCAAAAAAGGAGATATACAGCAGAAACCAGAGATAATAAACACCACAAGTATTGGAAAGATACGTCATACCCTAATCAATGAACATAAAAATACCAGGCCAAGGGAACCAAAGAACCACAAGAACATGGTGAATGGGGGAGCAGGGATGGATCTGACAAAAGACAACTAGAGAATACAATTGATGGTGGCAATGATTGTTAAGAGTATGAACTCCCATGCATGCTACAAAGGCAGAACATGAAAATCCAGTGACCAGGATGTTCCAACTTTGGTGGCATTGGGATGATAACTATATGATTTGGGGGAAATGTGGTGGGTTGATAGAATGAGATACGGACTATAGAAATGAAAATCTAAGATGGCAGCCAGAGAAAGAAATATAAAGGGGAAAGAGGAAGTGGCATTATTGGAAGGAAATCTATGATTTTGGTGGGATTTGTAACAGCCAACCAGAAAAGAATCATGGACACAATAATGCAATCTCAATAGAGTTCCACTTTATAAGGAAATCAGCAATGGAATAGTTACAGGATAGGTTGACTAATAAGGTATTGCTTTGATACAATGTCATGAAATGAACCAAAAATTCCAAAGGCTATGTGATTAAGTGTACACACATAAATGGTTTTATATTGGTAACACACACCCCTCAAGCGAAAGTTCATTAAGCTTGAAACATGAACATTGCACAGGTCAACCTAACCTAATCTTATCCTTAAAAGTCTTTATTTCATTTTATTTTTTTATAGAAGAATGGAACTGGCAAGGGTAGAACTCTTGCATCCTGAACACCAAATCATAACTGCTCTAATACCATGTTTAAATTAAATGGTTCAGGTAAGGGAGGAGGAAAGGCAGAAAGAGACTTTTAATAATAAAAAAGAGATTTTAATATTATTCTTGTGTAAAAGGATGTACTAAATACAGATTACAAAACCTATATTTGTACTATTACTGAACTCTTAATCCTAAATAAATAAGGAAACAAATAAGGAAATGTAACAAAATCTGGAGACCACTCCAAAGAGATCATCTAAGATATTCACTCTAAAATAGTCTAAGATACAAAAAAAAAAGTATAATGAGATATTTTCAAGAAATTCTAACAAAAATAATTAAGAATAACCAAATCATGGTGACCCAAACCCCTATGAGCTAACAAGCCTATACCATGTAGGGTGAAAGCAAAACACTTAAACAATAAAGAGCAGTCTTAAAGCATAGCTACACAAGAAAGAAGTTTATTACCAAAACCAAAATAGTCATATCTTTTCAACTGAAACTCGGGAGGATTTTCTTCAGCGGTGCTAACAGAGTCAACAACCTCAGCCTGCAAGCCAAGAAACTGAACATTCAGCACAAAACTGAAATTTTGAAGAATAATGTTTCATAAACAAAATCATTAAATATGAAATCATTCATTTACATCCCTACAACTGATCCAATGACCCTCGTGTATACAGCTTTCAATTCTGAAATATAATACGAAAAAATGAACATACCTCTCCGTCCCAAATGAAGTAAAGACCATCCCCACGTTCTCCCTCACGAACAACATGCTCCCCCCGCTCTACACAAGAATTCATCATTCACGAATTGAAAACATTAATGCATAAACCAGCTCATCAACCACAAATGAAACATCTCTTCCAATTGATTGTCGAAGTTCTGCATACTAGAAATGTTCTAAAACACTCCAAACATAACAACAACAACAACAACAATAAAAAGGCTACTATAATATGAAAAATCTTCGAACACATTTCCACCTAATTTATCGCACGAAGTCCAATACAATAACAAACGAGTTGAAATTTTGAAAACCCAAATTCGATTACCATAGTGTTTGAGAATCACAAGTTCAGATATCTTCCGCACAGACGAGCCAGGAAGTCTTTGCAGCAGAGGAACGTTACCGAGGAACTCAAACACTGCAACAAAATCAAACCTAAAGATCGTAACAGAAATTCAGACGCATTAGACTGAAAATAAATAAAAGTAAATTAAAAAATTATTGGTTCCTGATCTACTCCTATTTGGCTACAGAGAAATGAACGGATGATGAAAATGCAAATAGCAAAGTGCGTTGTGTTGTTAATTTGTTTTCTTCAGATTTTCTGAGCATCCAAACGGAAAATTTTGTCGCTGAGATCACTCACCTTCTTCCTTCGCCATCACACTGATTGAATGGTTTCCAACAGTGTAGTATTATTAGGAGTTTGTTTATACACTATCGACAAATTAAAATTCATATTTTATATGATTCTATGATCGTTACTCCACGTGTTGCATTTTGAGTGACGTTAAATATTTTTCTTTAATTATGGCTTTTTTTTAAGAACTTTAATTATGGTTTTAATCATTAATTGAATGTTTTTTTTTTTTTTTTATTATCGGTGGAAATTTAGAGAATACGCATCAAATATATTAATTATATTTGTTAAGTCCTATACAAAGACTTAAATATATTTGTTAAGTCCTATGCAAAGACCTAAACTAATTTTTTTTTATAAATGATTAATACGTTGAATTTAAAATTAAATTTTAGATATTGTCGAAGTTTGGTCCTTAAAAAAAATAATACTTGATCAGATTATACTTGTTTTATTGTCAAATCACATTATACTAAAGCAAAATCTTAAAATACTAATGAGTTACACATTAAATAAAATAAAATAATAGTAAATAAAAATTTATTTAATATTTTTTGTCTAAATTAATTAATTTTTTATATTAAAAAGATCATAAATGATAATAAATTAAGTACTTAAAATTAAAAAAATGACTACAAATTAAAGAAGTTATCTAATAAAAAAATTATTAAACAAGTAAAAAAAAATTAAATTTATCTAGATAAAAATATTAGATAAATTTTTATTTAATTTAATTTCTCTATTCATAGAATATTCAATTTATTTTTATTATTTTTAAGCGGTTTGATTAGGTTCTCAAATTTTTAAAGTTGTTTAATATTTTTTTTTTTGATTTTATTAACATCAATAATATTAATTAAAAAATATTAAATATTTTTTAAAAATCAAAATGATTTAAAAATAATAGGAAAAAATTAAAATTTAAAAATAAATAGGGAAGAAAAGTATAACTTATGCGACGGTAAAAGGCTGTGGTGTGATTCTCATTGGATAGTGCCTCAACCAATGAGGTGTGGAATTTTTAGTTTCAGTGCGGCACGTTTCATTTTCTTTCTTTTCTAAAACTGGAAAAGTTATTTTTGTGGACAAACCAAAACTGGAAAAGTTATTAAACGCACAAAGACAATTATTTCTAATTTCATTAATTTTTTTTATATTATTTATATGATAGTTGACTCAGATATCTGATTTTATGAGATCGTATCTTATTTTAAAACAATTTTTTATAATAAAAAAAGTGATTAAATTAATTTTTGTTTACATATATTTTGACTAATTTATAACAATATTTACATATGCGTCATTGTATTTTTTTTTAATTTTTAATTTACTACAAATATTAGTTTTTCAATAATTTATGACAATAACTTTTCAATATTAGTTTTCGTATTCTGATTTATTTATTATAAAATGACTTTAATTACTATTTTTGGTTTTAATAATAAATAATACAAAAAAATTATCAAAATCAAGCAAAGTAACTAAGATAAGTTATTTAGTTAATTCTATCATAAATTTAATATTTATTCCAAAAATACTCTTTGCTTTAAATGACTGTTATATATAATATCAGTAGACAATAGAATAAATTAATGCAAAATTCCAGCGTGTTTGGACAGTGCGATTTCTCTCATCTGAAGATATTACTAGCTTTTGCTTCTTGTAAGCATTAGACGTGATAAATTACGTTAATAACGTATTTCCAATAACCGTTACAATATTGTACGTAAGTTTTGTTTTAAAAGGAGAAAACTTAAGATATATAATATTATTTTTCATTAAAATTAGTGTTTTATTTTAATTATATATATATATATATTATTGAGATAAAATTCGATATTATGATAATGTATATAACTTTTCTGCTTTTCAATAAGCACATAATATTTGCACTACCATTTTATTGCTTTTACTTATCTTTTATAGCAAAAGTGATATTGAGATTTTTTGGATAAATTTTTTTTATAAACACTTCTAGTTAAAGGGTAAATTAGAAAAAAAATGAAATAATTATATATTTTTTAATTAAAATTAATTTATATATAAATTAATTTGTAAAAATAATCTTTTATTAAATTTTTAAAAAAAAATTCAAATCTTGAATTATCTTCAAAACTAAGTGGTTCTCAATTTATAGGATTTTAAAGTGTAGTTTGTGGTGCAAGTGTTGAAGAGATAAGAAAAGATAACAAGGTATTCTAAGTGTTTATTACACCATTTTATTTATATTTTTAAGGTTAAATTAAACTTTTAATTTTTCTATAATGTTCAATCCTCAATTTTGATTTTTTAATTATTAAATTTGTAATTTTAGTTTCTCAATTTTATAAAATTTATAATTTTAATTTTTTTAAATATTTATATTTTGATCGTTAAAATTGTAACATTAGATATAACTTGACATAAACTAGATGACATGACAATTCATATCTAATAATATTTAGGCTAAATTTACCTTTTAATTACTTTTTTTAAATCTTATTTTCATTTTATTTTACCACCCATATGAGATAAAAAAGATGAACTAAGAGTAAAATTTAGTCAAAATATTATTAAATATTAATTTTTATGTCATTTACTTAAAGTTAGATCATGACTAACATTACAATTTTAACAATCAACAGATAAATATTTAATAAAAAGACTAAAATTATGGATCGTACATGTTATAGAGGGATTAAATGTCAAATTTGATATAATGGAAGCATGTTAATGTGTAGTTATGGTAAAAAATGACAACACTATCACTTTAACTAAATGACTCGCAATTAATCAACTTAGAGAATTATCTTTTCTAACACATTGAAATGAATATTCGCACTTTATAATTGTTATGATAAGTTGGTATTAGATATTGGTGAAGTGGAATATCTCTTTTTAAGTTTTGTCCAACCAAAAAGGAAAATAAAACTTTTGAAGATGAAGTTTAACAAATTCATCCATACTCTTTACATTTTGTTTTGAAAACTAAGGACCATGTTTTAACGCGACTTAAAGGACTTTTGATTGTATTCCAACAATATTCCCTTCAAACAAAGTATCATAATTTAACCCCCTTTGTAGTGAAAGTTAGTCTACGAGTATATCCGATGATGGTTCATAAAACTCAGTCATGCTCTAAATGCTTGCATTATTAACTCACGTAGTGAAACACACCTCTTAATCCTTTATGTTACCAAGAAGACTCTCTTTTATATATGGGTCCATTGTTAGAAAAGATTTTCGATACAAGAGATCTTATAATCGAATCTACCTGCCAACTTCATCATATTTGTCGAGCCGATCATCTAGTCGACTATTGAATTTGATATCATTTATTGTGCATTGAGGGGTTCACACACATGCATATCTCCACACTGGTAAAATATTGTCCACTTTGAACTTTAATTCTCAAGATTTTGTTTTTAGACATTAACCAAGAGGTCTCTTACTAATAAAGACTAATGAGTATTTATAAACTCATGTTCATTTTTATGTTTTAAAGATGTGTGACTTCAATTGTATCCCAAAAGTTTTCATAGATAATTTTAGAAAAAATTACTAAGCAAAAGTATCTAGTTCTAAAGTGTGATCTCCAAATCATGTATTCACCATCATCAACGTAATTAAATTGGATTTTTTCACCATATTGATATTGTACCTAGTGAGTTTAGATTCTTATAAAAGGCCTTGTGTTTTAGTGCTTGCATGCATAAATCAAAGTAGCACAACAACTTATGTTATATAGTCTTTTTTCTTTAAATATTTTTAATAATGGCATCAAGAAGAAGAGGAATAAATTTCATAGGCACATTGTTGAGCAGATAAGAGAAGTGGAAGCAACACTATATATAAATATAACCTTTATTTATTTTATGCATACTCGTTTGACATATATTAATGTCTACATATTAATTTGGCGAGTCTCAATTCAAGGACTCCATACCTCAATGGCGTCGGATGTAAGGTAAGTTGCATTAGCCGTTGATTGTGTTGCTGATACATGTTGTTTGAGGGGTGATTTGGTGAACATGAATAAAATACTTGTGTCTATTGCTATTGCATGTTATATGATGTAAGATAATGATAATAAGCATCAATATGCTATATTTGTGTAGTTAAAATAGTGATGAGCGTTGATATGCTATAAATTGCATGATTGGAGTATTGAACAAGCATTGGTTCGCTATTATTGAATGATCTATTGAGCATTAATATACTATATTTGAATGAATTGTTAAGCATTGATATGTTATTCTTGGTTGAGGTGTTACGCATTGGTATGCTATACATGATTGGTGTCATTTGATCTCTATATACATTAACCTAGGGTAATATATATAGAAAATATATGTTGAGGTGATGATGCTAAGAATGTTGCAGACATTAAAGTATGTTAATTGACTTAGGACTAGAGGAGAAAATGTTGTTTAGGAAGTTAAAGATCCCATATAGGGAATCTAGTTTTGGTACTTTGGGAGACCAACTGTTGAAAACCCTCTTTGAGTAAGTAAGAAACTCTTAGAACGAATTCTATTGAGTTTCCACTTGGTCCTTAGTCAATAAAGAGTAAAGTATGAAATTAAGGGCTATCATCCTTAACTAATTATTAGAAAGGTTGCATGGTTCTTTGTAAATAATTAATGGACTAATCCCATATGTGACTTGTTAATGCATGCAAGGTCATAACTTATACCCAACGAGCACATTTAGCGTGGAAGCAATCACTTAGACTATTCTAGTGTATTAGAAAATCTTTGTAAGTGAATGTGTGACAATGTATTAGGTGTGCTATTTACGTATGATGTGGCTCGAGTTTATAGTGTTCACATGCATGGTGTGAATACCTTGATATATGGTATTATGGTGGTAAATATTTGAATTTGCTTGGGTGTTTAACTTTTAGACATGTTGAGATTGTGTTATTTGGTGAATGTTGTAAACCATGAGTTGTATTTTTGGTTGGTTCACATGTTAGTGAATAGTATAGATGTTTCTTCCTATAAACATGTTAAGAAAGCTTTTGAAACTATAATGAGACCATATTGTTGGTAAGGTAATCAATCACTACTTTTGTTAGTCAATACTTTTTGTAAGGAATTATGACTACATTAA